AGCTAAAGTCTGTCTACACTGGACGCGACAAAGTGAGTGCTAAAAATAATTTTAATACGTCATAAATAGAACGAGGCATCAGTTTACTGTCGGGGATGTGTCGTGTCGCATCCAGTGCAAACAGTCACTGATTATAATGGTTTCTATAGTATTTTGTTGCACTGCTCGCGTCCAATGTAAACACGGTACGCCTAGTTATCTATTGTGGCAATTTGCAGGTCGTGTCAAAAAGTTGTTGGTTTAGATATAGCTGTATTCTGTACGTTTGACTCGTGTACGATAATTTTCTTCCAAATACGATCATTTTGAGCTTCTGGTACGATACGATACTTGGAGATTTCCAATCTGGCAACACTGATGATTACTGACGTACAGCAGCGGTATCGGCGTAAAGAGGTTAGGAGAACGTTCTGGGAACCTTCAGAGAACTTTCTTTGAACGTTCTCGGAACATAAATAGAACGTTCCCTTTAGGTTAGGGGAACGTTCCCGTAACCTACCGAGAACGTTCTGGGAACGTTCCCAGAAGGTATCCCGGAACGTTCCCTTAACCTAAAGGGAACGTTCTATTTACGTTAAGAAAACTTTCCTGGCTAACCAACAGGGAACATTCTTGGGAACGTTCTGGGAACCAAAAATTGTTAGCTGGGGCGAATGTGTGGTAAGTACTGCTGCCCCGTAGTATATAGAGTACGTGTGATCACGAATCTTGAAAGTGAAAGTAAAATGAGATCACGCATTCAAAAGCGGTTTCAATGCCCCGCATATTAATAGCGGCTCCCTAATGCCGCAATTTATATACAGTATAATTATCCAACAATATAATTGCGAGAGAATGTATTGAAATATTATTTTTTTTCTCCCATCTCATATTAATTCCCTTTAGGGGTTCCGTAGTACACATCATTTCCTTTCCGAAAACGGTAGGCTTGTTCGACTTCATGCGGTGCCGCAAAGATCGGCTGCCGCCTGACAAAAGCGATGGATTCTGGTTAGAAAATTTGTCTGACTTTGATCGCCGCTGCAGCTGCCTTACGATCACATGTGCCATCAAAGTACCGCGAGAGCAAAACGAGACCAGCCGCCTAGGTCAGTTGCACAAAATCGGCTGCGAAAGCCTTGATGACAACACACTTTATTCTCATTGGTTAGATTCTGTGATGACAAGAACGATGTGTTTTGCATTTAACAATTCAATTCATAATGCACAAATCTGTGTTTTTATAACAGTAAAATCTTTTTTAGTGTAATCGCACTGTTATATTGAGTAAGGTTTATCAAAAAAAACTAACAAACAGATAAATGCATATATACCCCCACTTTATTGGTATTTAAAGGTGGCAGGCTAGTATAGTTCATCTCGAACAAGCCTGGTATTAGGTGTGCTCGACTTGAAGCGGCGCTGCGCAGACCAGTCATTGTATGACATCAAAGTACCGCGAGAGCCATAAGAGAGCAGACAGCTCCTTATGCTTTCGAATCACTCTTACGGTACTTTGATGTCATACACTGATTGTTCTGCGCAGCACCGCTTCAAGTTGAACATACCTATCGGAATGCAGGCGGATTGTGGGAGAGGGGGTAGGGGGAAGGAATCACGATGCCAGCTCAACATCGTGATGTCTGTCAGCCATCGGCATCGTTTATCGGCCCAACCCTACTGCTTAAACTCACAGTACAGTAAGAGTGGTATAACATTTCCCCCTGCTCATCCTCACCCTGATGCTACTGAAAAGATTAGCTGATCTCTCTAGCCCCGTGGCTGCCCTGGCCTACTCTGACATTTGTACAACACTAGTCACTTAACATCTATCACAAATCTGCATAATATTACGCACAGACAAACATAACATTTTCAATGCATCAGATGTATGCAAGTCTAAGATATATAAATTAAAATCACAAAAAAAAAAAAGACGGGGTTTTACACATCTGTTCACTACAATAGAATTCCCAGTCATGTTGTCATTTAAAAAAACACACACACAAAATAACACAAAGAGGACAGTCATAGTGTATTATGAGAAAGGGTCAAAGGGAATCAGCCATGGTGGTTTGTTTTATAAACAGCTAGTGATTAGAGGAACACACCTGAATAAAGAAATACAACAGAAGACACTCGTCTTACCCACTCTTGATTTTGATATACGTATATACGTGCAGTTCAGCTGCACACTACAAATGTGAGTGTGAAAACACAAAGAGCGCATACTGTTTACGCTCTATGTAGCTTCTGTGCTGCTTTAACTGTTTAAGCATCCAGTCTGAAATGGGCATCAAGAACAAAAAAGAATGTCCAAAAACTAAGTGCATGTGTACATGCAGCAAGAAGTCAGAGTGCTGTACCACTGAATAAACAGGAAATAGTCTAAAGATGGTCAGATGAAACAAAAATTAATATCAAAGAAGAAAGGGGCAGATAACACAAGAGGACCAGTGAGAAATAACCTGTCTCTTGTTTGTGCAAAATATTAATATAGTGTGCATGTTTAACAGGGAGATATACTGCTGAAACAATTACAGCTATTGGACAAAATATGCTCAAAGGCATTAATCTTAAATGTTACTCAAATGTACCTGAATTCCTAAGTATTACACACTTAAAAATTGGAACATTCACTGATCTGTATGTGATAAATTCATAAAATATAAAAACAGCTTACTCCATGGCTGACAAGTCCATGTCAACTTCCTCTCCATTCATCAGAGGGATTTTCTTCTTCTTGTTCCTGGCAGAGAAAGAATAGTTTGTTTGTTTGGGTTTAACGCCGTGCCAGCTTCCGTGGCTATTTTCATAGCAAGAAAAATTTATAAAAAATTATATTAGGTTTAGGGCTGCAACAAATAATCAATAAAATCGATAATGAAAATCATCGACAACAAATGTCATTATTGATTAATCGTGTCTGCCCACCATGCACGCAAAACATCCTCCTGTCATGTCAAATTTTACCACTGAATAACGCATTTCTATGGTCCAAATGAATATAAATGAATCTAATAGTGGAAGAAACAAAGAAAGGTGCATGATCCAAGCTGCCCAAAACATGCGAATGCTTTAAACTTCAAGCTAATGCATAAGCATAATGTTTAACATGGCTCGTCCTGTCAAGCGCTTTGACAGATGTGTGTTTAATGTGTGATATGATTCCTCAGCGCAAAACTTTCATTTTAGGTTGTGTAATCTGTAAATCTTCATATTCATGCAAGTGTTTCTATTTTGCATGAAGACTCGTCCTGACAGTCTGCGTTAAACTTCAGAATTTACTGAACGAGCGGCAGCGCTTCAAACAAACTGAAGGCAGTAGAGAGGGAAAAAATTTATATGCAGCACAAAAATATTAATTTTGCTGAAATATCGGTTATTGGATGTTAAATTTAGGTTTAAAAGTCAACATGTAATTCAAGCATTTTATGATAGTAACTGTAAAGGGATAACAGCATGTAATTGAATATAAGAGCATTCAGAGTGAATGTGTGTGTCCATGCAAAACATTCCTCTCATCGGTTAACACTAAGTTTGTGTTTTTCTTTATGATCTTCATTATAATCTCCATTTTTAGGCCCTGTTTACACTTGGTATTAAGATGCGTTTTGGTCGATCGGATCACAAGTGGACCACGGAGACACACACCCGTTTACACCTGGCATTTTAATCAGTCTCTTCTGTCCACTTTCGACCATTTCTGGCTAGATTACACTCCTGTGGTGCTGATTATGTCAAGAGAAGGGTAAATTGGCGGATTCCTGCAGAGGGTGCCAACGGCCTGGTGATGTTTCATGTGATTCAACGACGTTTAAATCCATTTAATTGCAATATTTGGTCATATGCAAAGTGAGAAACTTTTATTTTGAAATCACGATGTACAATAAATCAATACTGTTAGTAACCCCGGTTCTCTGAAACATCGAGTGGAGAGATCCACCTATGTTGATTTATTCTGTGTTGGCATAGGTTTATAAATGACTTAAGTTCATACTTTTATTAGTTACAAATTAAGTGAGATTACGCACAGTTTTCCCAGATGAACGTTAACGTTAAGCAACCCAAACTCACTGCATATGCAGAGGAAGAGTTTAGCCCAGGGCTCCAGCCCATTTCTTGTTTATTTTTCTTTTGTTTATAGTTTATACAGATTTGACAGTAAAGCACTAAGATTGAGTTAAGATGCATACAAAATTTACTTTTATTAACAACAGTAATAGGTGCAAAATCAAATTTTTATATAGAAACATTATATATTCCACTTTTATTAAATGTACCATTATTCTTCTAGTATATGGAACTGACCAACTTCAGTGATTATGTGTGATTTAGTAGCAAATTGAAGAAAAGTTTGTTTTTCAAGGCACTTTGTGACTTTTTTTTAACTTCATACACACAAAAAAAAAAGTGTAAAATTCTGACAATCTGATTTCTTGATGATTTGATATTTTATAATAGTGATTTTATCATTTCAAAATATAGAGGAAAAAGTAGAAATGAATGACTAATAAGCCAACAAGTGCTCCTCTTCTGCTGTCTACTGGTTATAATTGTGAGTTGATGCATTTTTAAAATTTTTACACAAGTGTTTGTTTACCACAAAGTATATTTTGGTCATCCCATTAAAAATAACATTCAAACCGGATAATTTTAGAGCTTTAAAGTGCTGGAAATAGTTGTGTGAAATGCTTGAAAGTCATTGAAAAGTGCTTGAATTTCTCTCTCAAAAGGTTGTACAAGAGCTGATAAACGGTCCGCGCTGCGCAGCTGAAACGTAGCGCCGTTTAGTTTCGCTTTCGTTTGCCATTTGATGTTTCTCAAATGCAACAGAAATGGCAGCGCTTATGAGTTGGACAACTCACAAAAATTAGTCGCACCGGCAGAAAAAATGGTCGCAAAATGAGACCATTTGGTCGCAGTCTGGAGCCCTGGTTTAGCCCCTTTCACACATACAGTCTTCACTGGTAAATTGCCGTTAAGAGATCATGCGTGAATAGGACCTTTTCAAAACTACAGGTAAATTTGTTCTGCCAATAATATCATTCTTATGGAGATGACGTAATTACTCTGAGTTGTTTACAAAGCTCCGTTAATTATATAGAAAATAGCTTTTCTATATAAATATGGCTCTAGATGGAAATCTTTGACCATCGCGCCTCGCAGCTTTTTCAGAATGTGTCGCACTCATCAGCTCTGCAGTTGGATACTATTATGCGCATCTCATGTTTATAGGACCAAAAATGTCTGATTGGCTAGTAATGTTAGTTCGGTTGAGAGTGAAAGCTGTGTTCCTCTCATACATTAGTAGGTGAACTCATTAACTCTAACGTGATATCAACAAGTTTTTTTTTTTTTTTATGTAGGAGGACTATCTTATTTTCCCGCAGCTAAACGCCACACGCCGGAGAACTTTAAGCCCTGCTGATTAATCAAAAAAACAAAATAAACAGCCAACTAATCAATTATCAAAATAATCGTTAGTTGCAGATCTAATTTGGTTTTTAAATTTTATTTTTGCTAAAAATTCTAAAACTATATCTTGTTTAACTCTGTTAAAAATCTCTTCAAAAGAGTTAGCAGAGAGAGAATAAATAAGGATACAAAAAATAAATAAAATAATTAAAAACCTAAATCATGCCATGTGCTGGACGAGAATTTTAAATGCTATACTATTAACAGGAACTACTGATTGGATTCAGGCATGAATTTTGTTCTGAAAGCAGGTGTCCTACCTTCTGCTTTTGGAGTGGCAGGGAATGTCATGTTTGAGACTGTTCTCCTCTATCTGTAATGTGTGGTTAAATGACCCATCCAGTTCCTGCACTGTCACTTTAATAGGGCCCTAACAAAAAACAAAAGCATGTGTAAGTTTTCAATATGCACATAATCATTGTCGGACCACTTAGAAGACTAGTTTAGCACTTTCACTACCGCTATGAAACTTTTTCTTTTATCCATCCATACATTCTCTCACACAATTTTCCATCTGATTTTCGCACTCACAACATATTTCTGTGTGCCAGATGATGTGTAGTCCTGACGGATCTCGAGTTCCAAAACATTTCTTTTTCTGTTGAAGGCAAAACTTCCAAAAAATTTTACCACCCCACTTTGGTCTCTGAGGTTGAGTCAAAGGTAATAATATATTAAACTACAATATGCTTGAGCTCAAACTTCCTAAATATGTTGGGGCGGCCCGCCCCCCCAACAGCACCCCCCACCCCACTTGAAGGTCATGTTAATTTTAGGCTACTTAATTTTATTCTCTCTATAGGGCCAGATCACAACAGAAGTTAAAGTTACCTTTCCTATAAGGTAGGGTGAAGGTTTCCTTCAGCTTGTTCTTTTATTAAACAAACTAAATTAGTTATGTTATTTATCTTATTTACATGACGGCACGTCATTTCTGTCTCTACGTTAATTGGTCGCACTCTCTGCATCGCGCGCAGCGGAGTTCCGCCCCGATACGCACACACAAGTGAGCACACTCCTACTCCCACTAGTATTTGTAAATATTAAGCCACAAAACGACTATTTAAATATGAATTCTGCGTGTCTCTGTGTTAATGAATGGCGCAGACGCTCAGTTTTGTTTACTACTTGTACTGAGGCGCGCGTGACTCTTGTGGTGATATTAACGTCTGTATAAATGTATGTATAAATGAGGACATAAATACATGAACAACATCCCCAGAACTGCTCTGAGAGTCACTTCATGAGCATTTTACCGTTTCATTTGAGTAAAACTATCCTCATATCATATACATTGATATACATCATATACAAACATATATATCTGTTGTTCAGTAGAATGTACGTAATAGGCTACTACTACTAAAATTATTAAAACCTTATTTTTAAGGAATAATCATACAATATCAATGTTTTAATTGTAATATTAAATGACCTTTATTTTCCAAAAAATTCTGAGGAAAAAATCATAAGGCTATTGTAAGAATAAATGAAACTTGTTTTTATGCTTTCAAATAATTAGTCATGCTAAAACACAGAATTTGGTAACAATAAAACATAAGGTTGGAAAAAATAAAAGATAATTTTGCTTCGTAAGAGCTCAATAAATTGTCAGGAGCCACAGGTATTAATTTTGTTTACCTTGGTATGATTTTTTTATTCTCAAATACGGGCAACCGCTGGCATGAATTTTATTAATCACCAACGACCACGATTCCAGCTAAAATCTTCTTTACTGTTCTACAGAACCTCAATGATTAAAAAAAAAAAGCATGTCATGGCCCCTTTAACTGTAATATCACTGTACTACATTAATTACCACAATATCTAATTAACCAATAACTATTAAAAAAATTAGGGCTACCCTCGACTAAAGATTTTTCTGGTCGACTTGTAGTTGTTCATTTTAAGCATTAGTCGACTAATCGCATGTTTATTAATAAACCATTTAAATCATTATAATGGCCCTTTAATTGCCTACATAGCCTAATAAGCATTCAAGCACACGCATAAAGCTTGCCACACCGCACCGCAGAAGCTAATGATTATGAATGGGAAAAACAGTAAGGAGACTGCATTAACATTTTAATAATTTGATAAATTAGGGCTTTCTTTGTTTTCGGCTTAAGTCAAGAGATGAAGTCGGCGACAGACTCGTCATCTCCGCAGTAGTGGACGCGCACCTGTACAGTGTGTTCCAAATTATTATGCAAGTGACATATCAATAGGATTTTGGTACAATGAGTCAGATTTTTGTTTGTGTTGTTTTTCACATCTTTATAAATCTGTTATCAATCTCAGACAGGTTTGTTCAATAGTTTGCCAGGTCTTAGGTAAATGGAAACCCTACTTAATACCATTTTCTGCTGTGGTATAAAATTAAGAATAGTGCTCTCGGAAATAAAAGGATTTTCATGCAGCACAACACACTATCCCATGCTTCAGATGTTCAGATGTTTCTACAGCCACTGTGCAGGTTTCTCTTTATGAGGTTTGGTTAGCAGTGACTGAAACGCAGCTTTACACACAACTGCCAGTCTGCATGGAGAGGATCTTGAGACTCCAGTAGCTTCAAACACCTGTTTGCTGCTCAGCAGTGGCTTTTTTACAGCTGCCATTACAAAACAGTTCATTTGTTTGACAGGAACTTTCCTTAATAAATCTTTATCTGACCAAGATCTTCTGTGCTCTAAGTCACTCACAAATCTTTTGACAGTTCAATAATCTCTATTTGCTTTTCGCAAAATATTATTTGTTTTGATGCCTTTTGCAAGACATTGCATTGTTTCATATTTTTCGTCTTCAGAAAGATCTTTCTTCCTCACCATATTGCATGAGAACTGTGACTTGCTTAATAATGTGGAACAACCTCTTTAAATAGGGTTTCCATTTACCTAAGAAGACCTGGCAAACTATTGAACAAACCTGTCTGAGACTGATAACAGTTATCTAAAAAGATGTGAAAAACAAAAACAAAAATCTGACTCTTTATTGTACCGAAATCCTATTGATATGTCACTTGCATAATAATTTGGAACACAGTGTATGTGACGTTTCATACGGATTACATAATCTGAGAATATTTGTTTTCCAGTTGAATTGGTTCATGTGAAAGTAGACATTTCACTCTCTATAGATATATTTTTAATGTCTGTAAGGCAAAGATAGCCTATACACGGAGTTTCACGCTCAAGTTCACAGAGACAGAGACTGCAGAAAGCACATCCTGTTTGCTTTCATTATTTTACAAAAGCGCGTTCTGCTGTTATTGTGAGTGCACACAAATAAACGTAGAGTCCTTACAGATTTGAAAGATGTATTACTCTTATCTGTATAACCAAAACTGACGGAGTATTTTAAGAGCAAGTGACCGGCGCCTCAATCTGTCGTGCTCTGAGCGAGCGCGTTGCTGTTCAGCTTCCACGCTCTGCAGACACTTGAACAGCACACATTTCTCTAGGTTAACATTAGATTGAGCGGCCATGTAAAGTTGCTAATACTTAAATATTTCAGATGATAAGTCATATTTGCCTAAGGTCGCAAGACTCTGGACTTTTGGTAGTACCTAGGATAGCAAAGTCCACTAAAGGAGGTAGAGCTTTTACAAATAAATGTAGAGTCTTTACAGATTTGAAAGATGTATTACTCTTATCTGTATAACCAAAACTGACGGAGTATTTTAAGAGCAAGTGACCGGCGCCTCAATCTGTCGTGCTCTGAGCGAGCGCGTTGCTGTTCAGCTTCCACGCTCTGCAGACACTTGAACAGCACACATTTCTCTAGGTTAACATTAGATTGAGCGGCCATGTAAAGTTGCTAATACTTAAATATTTCAGATGATAAGTCATATTTGAGGTCGATGAATGATAGGCGAGCGTTTGGGTGTCCTGCATTACCCATTACCACATTGACCAGCCATTAACGATCTGTCCGTCACGGACTGCGTGACTTCGCCTGTGGAATTGTTTTTTTTCCCCCGTGACTAATAAAATCTTGGTCGACCAAGCCTCTTCAAATCGCTTTGGATAAAAGCATCTGCAAAATGACAAAATGTAAATGTAAATAACTGTATTCCACAGTGCATTTGAAGGATACACCCATTGCTTGATGAGGGGTCCGATGTCCTTCCCTGACACATTGGAAATGGATTTGAGGAATCCAGAGGTGGACACCAGCATCTGGCTCCACATGTGAGACTGATATTTCTGGGATGATGCTGTGCTGGCCAGACTCAAGAGCTTGTTAAACACCTGATGAGAGATTTGATTGAACTCAGGCTGAGATTACAGTATCTGATCAGTTTATAATTAGCCACAAGGATAATAAAAATGTGTGTGCCAATGTGGGTGGTCCATAAATGAGGTTTTGAGAGGAACCTGCACCAGTACACATATCACCTCAAAAACCCATGAAATAGATCACTTCCCTTTCTTAAATGAGGGATGTTGTAGTTCATATACCTGCAACATGAACTCCATGCTAATTCTGTTTTCAATGAGCCTCATGACCAGGTGGGCTTTGCATTGGAACATCTTGTAATATTCCCAGGACAATGTGTGGGGGTGTCTGATGGAAAAGTGCAGGTGGGGTGTAGGACTGAAAGGAAAACAGACATTATCTTCCTACAAAACATCATCTTTTGTACAAGTTTGGATAAGTGTGTATAAATTTTAAGCAGTGATAGAGGTGAGGATTACTTGTCTTTTTCTTTCCCTCCAGAGAAGGTGGGATGTAGCAGGACTCCACCTATCTTTAGCTCATACTCCACAATCTTGTCCAGTTCCTGTTGGTTAAAAGAATAAGAGACAAACAGTTCAGCATTTAAAAAGTTGATGTTTGAGCATATAAACATATGGACATGGCCGTTTGACAGAAGCACTGGCTCGCTTTTGTCGATCACTTTACTCTATACCTCCTTAATCCAGTGACGATACTCATTGACTCCAAAGGTTTTCTTCAGGTAGAGGCCATAAATGTATCCAGAAATTCCCTTCAAAACCCACTCATCAGACCTGCAATTCAAAATACAAAATGTACAGTTATATATTATATACACATACATACATACATATATACATACATATATATCAGGGGCGTTTCCTCCAAGGAGGCAAGGGAGGCAGTGTCTCCTCTCTTGAGAAAATAATCGATATTACAAAAATAAAACAGCGCAAATATGACTAAATATGATATTAAAAGTCTAAAAGTCACTAATTTTTATAAAGTAACACTGTCCAACAGCGACGCCCGCAGGTAAAGTTACAGCGGAGGCTTGCCTCCCTTCGGTCCATTGACATTCTACAGAGACCCCTAAGTGTGCCGTGACTTTTCTGGAGGCTCATTGAGATGAATGGGGGGAAAATCAAGTGAGAGGAGGCAATGCCTCTTTCTTAAGGGTCAAGATCAAGTTATCTGCATCTCCTGCACTCCATCAAGCCACTCCAATAATAGCTGTCACCACTCAAATTAATGCACGGCTCAGATTAACTATACAGCATGTGTGTAAGACTCCAATACAATTATAAAGTAATTATTTTATCATGAATAAATATTTCAATGAGTAAAACTGGCTGTGTCTATAGTATTATAGACTACACAACATTATTTTATTTTTCAATTAATTTTAAAATGATTATTATTTTAAATTACTGTCCCTGGATCAGTAGGGTACTCTTCTAATAAAGTAGCAGTGGCTAGGACAAATTTTAAGCATCAATTCTGCTGAAAAAGATGCAATCTAATCCTGTTTACATGAAATAAGCCTGCTCCCGAGCAGGTTTAAGCTTACGGACCTGTTGCTATGACAGCAACTCCGGGATGAGCTTCGAAAAGCCAGCCAATTCAAGATCAAGCAAAATAGTCAACAATTAAATCCAGCTAACTGAGTTAGCGCCGTACGTAGAACGGACCTCTGCTCTAGGCATTACTAGTTCAACAAATAAATACTGGATTTCTTGCAAACCTAAAGTACCTGCCATTTATGTATGAAAAGTATTATATTGCATATAACAAAAATGCTGCAATATGCAGTTTTGTGGCTGGCAACAAACATTACACTATTAGGCTTTACCATTCCTACTTACCAGGACATCCTAGAGATGAAGCATCCAAAAAACTGCTGGGCCAGAGCTTGAGCCAGACAGTGCCTGGTCACAGGAGTCTGATCTATGATCATGCCACTGTGCAGGAGGTTGGTACTGAGAAGAACACCACAAACACAAGATCATGATAAAATTCTGTATATATACAGTTGTGTTCAAAATAATAGCAGTGTGTTTAAAAAGTGAGTAAAGTTCAAAATCCTTGTAATAACTTATTTCAATACACACACATGCATTGGGAACACTGCACATTCTATTCTAAATCAAAACATGAAGAAAAATATATTAAATCCTGTAAACAGGTATTCCAGCCCAGGACGATTGCACTACAGACCACAATTCATCTGCATTTCTTGGTTTTGCCTCAGAAACAGCATTTTTGATGTCACCCCACAAGTTTTCTATTGGATTAAGGTCTGGAGATTGGGCTGGCCACTCCATAACGTTAATCTTGTTGGTCTGGAACCAAGATGCTGCTTGCTTTCTGGTGTGTTTGGGGTTTTTTACTTGTTGAAACACCCATTTCAAGGGCATTTCCATTCGACATAAGGCAACGTGACCTCTTTTAAGTATTTTAATGTACTCAAACTGATCCATGATCCCTGGAATGTGATAAATAGGCCTAACACGTAGTATGAGAAACATCCCCATATCATAATGCTTCCGCCACCATGCTTCACTGTCTTCACAGTGTACTGTGGCTTGAATTCAGTGCTTGGCTTCACATAGGCTTCTTCTAATTGTTACAGTACTCACAGGTAACTTTAGACTTTCTTTGATCACCCTGGAGCTCATCATTGGCTGAGTCTTTGCTATTTTGGCTATTCTTCAATCCATTCGAATGGTATTTTTCCGTTTTCTTCCATGTCTTTCTGGTTTTGGTTGCCATTTTAAAGCATTTGATATCATTTTAGTTGAGCAGCCTATCATTTTCTGCACTTCTTTATATGTTTTCCCCTCTCTAATCAACTTTTTAAAGTACACTGTTCTTCTAAACAATGTCTGGAACGACCCATTTTACTCAGATTTTCAGAGAGAAATGCACAGTACAACATTTGCTGCCTTCGTCCTTAAATAAGGGCCACTTGTTTGACACCAGTTTTTTCACAGAATGATTTACCTCTCTAATTGAACTCCACACTGCTATTATTTTGAACATGCCCTTTTCAATTAATGATTCAGTTACACAGAATCAGCAGCATGCATGTCATGACTGTTGGGTCTGTTTTCTATTACTCTACTACACCTACTAGTAAAATATTTGCCATGTAGAAATATAATTTCTACCAAAAACAGTGATTGATCTGGTTAGTGATGTTGGACTGCTATTATTTTGAAGACAACTGTATATGTATATATATATATATATATATTAGGGGTTGCACCGACTAATCGACTTCAATGCTCTGCCATGACGCTTTAAGCTTGACGTCGACTAGTCGCTGGTCCTATAGAAGGCGCAACAGGATAAGAAATCTTTGAAAGACTTCCACATTTTCACTCCGTTTCCAAACAGTTAAAATTACAAATAAATGCATACTCTGAAAGCGCTCCACAAGACATGTGTGATTATATTACTGGATGCCCTGAAATTGAACAGGAGAATGCACGTTTTAAACAGCTTATTGTACAGGTAAGTTAATCGCCGTTCTAATCTAATGCGCTGCTGCACTGTAACGCACACACATAGGCTACAGACAGTAGCTCGTACATCACGCACACATCGCGCGCACAGAATCATTCAGCACGGAATTGTGTTGTCAACACTGTTCTGTGATTTCTCAATAAAATAGCATAAAAACTGAAAAGTTCAAGCATATATTTCTTAATTAAATCCCACAGCTTCACTACTAGTAGAGAGACGCTGCCAGGTAGAATTAATTCACACACGCAATCGCTCTCACTAATGCATTCATATGAATATAATCTTTACTGTGCTACTTTATCTGTATCTGATTTAGAACGAGCAGAAATCTGTGAGAAATATAACGACCCAAAGACAAAAGAACTGATAAAAATGAGCTGTTATAGGAGCAATAGCCATGTGGGCAGCGTTGTGTCATATGCCATAGCTGTGCACAAGGTGTTTGTCACAGCTCCAGACTTATTTGTTCATTAATGACGTCATCAGCGATGACAAGCTGACAAGCTACGCAAAATCGTGTTCAAAATCACAGGCGATTCATTGCCGATTATGAACGCGATTTTGCGTAGCTTGTCAGTGATCTACGGCTCTGTGTAGTAAATGCTGTTCCATCTAAAAGCACGTGCTGGAGATTTACTACTAATCACAGAACCGGCTTTACTGACGAGATGAGCATGATAATAGCATTCGATTTTTTGTACAGCCCTAGCATATACTATTGTGTTATTGTTAAGCTCCACCAAAGGCACAACAATATTATAAAGCACCATAAAGTTTCCGTGCACTATATTTCAAGTGTTCTGAAGCCGTTCCATAGTTTAATGTGAGGTACAGATTAATTTAAGTCAATAAATTCAATTTCACGTAAACTCTTCGCTGCTGCTGTCTGTCATCCTCCATTCAGCATTCAAGCTGCTAGTCGCGTTCGGTTACTAGTCAAAACGATGAATCTCTCTTCAAGAGTGAAATTTAATGAAATTTAAAACTGTTAAAAGAAAAGGCTCAATAAACTATCGCACAGATTTAATACACTATGCATCAATATCTCTTTCCTGACTCTGTGTTGCTTCAAGTGCATCATTCTGCGCACGGGTTGCGCATAAGCTCTTGTGCCGCTCTGTATTGAGCCTTTCGTATTATAATGCTTTTGCGCAATGAAAGATTATTAATAGTCTTTCTTGTTCTGTTCTATCTATCATATGTTGCTGCCTTTATTACTGTGCTATACATTTAAAATAATTTTTTTTTAATTTTATAGTATATATTTATATTTAAATATATTCATTTATTTTTCATGAATTATTTTACAACAATACAAAGGGCAATGTGTAACATTTTACCAGAATTAGTCCTACACTTATTAACTTTTATTTGTTCCCCACTAAATAATGATGTTTCACTAAATGTTTAGATTTTACAGTTATTGTGCACCCATGATTTTTCTAGAGTATCTTTTGCTGCTGAATTATCCACTAACCTAGTTTATAATAGTATTTTTATCATAGATTATGATTTTTTTTTCATTCATTATTTTTCGTTAAAATGAAGTTGTCTATATTTAGCAGATTGTGATTAATACACAAAAGAGTGATGATAAGGTCAACACACAGAAGTATAGAAATTTTACATTGATTTAAAAAAAAAATGGTATCGGCAGATTGTCAGAATTTTCTGTATCAGATCGGTTCTGAAAAAATGGAATCGTTGCATCCCTTGGTTAAACATGAGATATAATTTGTTCTGGGTAAATCTAACAGGCAGTCTTTGGTCTCATTAATCTATTATTTGTTCCAGAGCAAATAGTTTGGGCAAAATCTCATGTTTATAAATGTAAATACAATGCTGTATATCAGAGCGTTGCCTTGTACTTTTGACTGAATTGCCTTTTATGATGCCTGTTGTTGTTTATTAAATATTATTATTCAATAAATAATATTTTATATAAATAATAGTATTTAACAATAGTGTTTAGTATTCAGTAGGGGTGCGCCGATCCGATATTCAGTATCGGTATCGCTCCGATACTGGCATTTTCTGCCGGACTGGGGTATCGGTCAGACGAGACCGATCCAAATCCGATATTCTGCGTATACTATTCTGTGTTATTGTTAAGCCCCACGAAAGCCACAAAAACATCATAAAGCACCATAAAGTTTTCGTGCACTACATTCCAAGTGTTCTGAAGCCGTTCCACAGTTTAATGTGAAGTACAGATGAATATTTAAGTCAAGTTGACGTAAACTCTTCTCTCCTCTGCGGCTGTCTGTCATCCTCCATTTCACGAGTTCACACTTACATATAATTTGCTGAAGTATAGTAATGCGTATTTGGCGTGAAGGGCTCCGAGCTTGGAAATGGCCCAAATCCAGAGTACTTTAAGTGTAATTTAACCCCCCGTTTAAGTGTAGTTAGAACTCGAAGTGAGGAGATGGGGCGGTGGAGGGATGCTGATAAACCGTCGATGGATAGAGGTAAGTCTGCTGTATTTATACCTCTTGGTGTTGATTAACTTGAGTGCGCTCCTCTTATGTTAATTAGGCTAAGTATCTGACGTGCACTCCTCCCGAACTTTGTTAATAAAACATAATTTAGCATTCAAACTGCGTGTCGTGTTTGGTTATGACAGTCAAGATGATGAAACTCTCTCCAAGATGATTTAATGTTCCTAATATTATACTTGATCTGTAAATAAAGATAAATGGTTTTGCATAAAAGGACTTTATCTTGCTTGTTTCTAAATCGTGTTCTACCGTGTTAGATCACAACACTGGCTCAAAAAAAGGCTCAAACCATCACACAGATTTAATACACTATGCATCAATATCTCTTTCCTTTGTGCTTTGAACTTTTCTATATGGAGAGCTGTGCCTGCGCGCTGTGACTCCGTGCTGCCTTAAGCGCATCATTCTGCGCACGGGATGCGCATAAGCTCTTTGTGCCGCTCTGTATTGGAGGTATTGGAGCCATAATACTTTTGCACAATGACAGATTATTGATAGCCTTTCTTGTTCATCTTATCTATCATATCTATCATTGCCTCATTACTGTGCTATACATTTAAAAGAAATATCTTTTAATTTTATAGTAGGCCCTACATATTTATTTATAAATATATTACTTTTTACATGAATGTATTTTACAACCATACAAAGAGCAATGTGTAACATTTTACCAGATTTAGTCCAAAACTTACTCACTTTTATTTGTTCCCCACTAAATAATGATGTTTCACTAAATGTTTAGATTTGATAAAATTATTGTGTACTCATGATTTTTCTAGAGTAACTTTTGCTACTGAATTATCCACTAACCTAGTTTATAATATTATTTTTGTCATAGATTATTATATATTTCTTCCGTTTGTTATTTTTTCTTTGTAAGAAAGTTGTCTATATTTAGTATTGTGTGTAACACACAAAAGAGTGATGATCAGTTCAACACACATTGAGGT